CGCTATGCCAAATGTCGTGCATATCGAAAGATATTTTGGAACTTTGGCGCACCATTTACCTCAAATCGGTCGAACATATATAAGGGAGCTATATCTAAATCTGAACCGATTTTCAAGAAATTTTACGCACATCATTCCCGACTTAATTCAGTACGCTGTGCCAAATTTCGTGCAAATTGAAAGATATACTGGGACTTTGGTGCGCCACTTAACTTAAATCGGACGAAAATATATATATGGGAGATATATCTAAATCTGAAACGATTTTTATACACTTCACCATACTGTGGTACAGGGTATTATGTCTTTGTGCATATGTTTGTAACAGGCAAAAGGAAACGAGATAGACACATGGTTCCTTTTGAGAATACGCATAGAATCACTTCCTAAGTCGATTTATGCATGTCCGTCCGTCTGTCTGTCCATTTGAATTTGTAAACAAAGTACAGGTCGCATTTATGACCCGATTTGGATGAAATTTGGCATAGGTCACTTATCTGGCCCAAGGACGACCCCTATTGAAATTGGGAAAAATCGGTTCAGATTTAGACATAGCTCCAGTGTTGCCAAAACTTTGTTGATAAGAAATCCTAGATTTTGTTTAAAAAAGTGCTAGAAAGTGCTAAAAAATTTTAAAAAGTGCCAAATAAAAGTGCTAAAAATTGTATAAGAGAAATTAGAGGAATTGACTTTAAGGGAACATCCCCACCCCCATTCCCGATTTTAAATTTTCAAGGTTTTCAATGGGCCGGATATATGTTTGAAGATTTAAAGAAAAAGAAAAATGGTTTACAAATTTTTTGGTTATTGTTTTGATGTTGTTGTCGTATGAACTAGGATTATTGGCTTTGCTCAAAAATCAACAAATTGATGGACCTTTAAAAAAATATTTTTGAAAAATCGCCTATTTTTTACCACAAACCACGTTAAGGAAGATCTTGACCGATTGAATTTATCCTAGTCCATACGATGGCTATACACTCACAGAGAAAAGTCCCAAAATTTGGAATCGATCGAATTATTAGTTTTTGAGTTATCGTGCCCGCCATTCGCAAAAACGCTGATTGGTGAAAAATGCGTTTAAAGTTTGAGAAGCCCTCTTGCCGTCACTTAATGCTAGCACAATAAATCGGCTATATCTTCAAGAGTTGTTGAGATTTTCACTTGAAATTTCATTCTTGTAGATTCTAATTAAATCAAAATACAAAATATTTTTTTTAAGCCGAGGGGTTCACCTAAATATGATATGTTGCTTTCTTAAAAATGTCCATACCAAAAATTATCAATGTGGATCTATGTTTCGAGGTAGTCCATAGAAAAAGGCATTTTGGAGTCGTAGAGCATGTTTTCCATCAAATTAACTATAATTTGAAACTTTTAATTTTTTGTGGAGTTTCGGAGAATGGCATATATGCAGAAATTATCAAGGCACATGTACTCATATTGAAGTACTGCTCTACCATCTTTATGTGGAAGGTTTTACACGCATTATCTGTGTTCTCGAAGGGTAGGATATATTTATGCGGGCAATTTTCTACATAGATCTATGTTTGGACATACCCCCGTTTGAAGATTCTATCCTATTTGTGTTCTTTAAGGATTTGAACCTTTTCCCGACGAAGTGTGGGCCCATCTTTTGACATAACCCCATTATAAAGAGGGACGCGACAAATTTTCGGTACTCTGAAATGGCTACAATTTGGTATTCGGGATTCCCAATGAATAAAGAACTCATTTCTCCTTTCCGATTTAGGTCCAGGATTTTACTTCGCTCTTAATTAGGTTTTTCATTTTACCTAATAAACAACCTACTAGCAGGCGATGCTATAGTAAGCGTATGAAGTACCCGACCATTTTTTGAGAAAATTTTAATACACTCCACATGGTGCAGGGTACAAACAGTTCTGACCGTTCGAACTTTAATACATATTTACAAATGTACTGGCACTTTTTTTACATTGAACATTAAAATCATAGCGTGAAACATAGGGACATTTTAATGTGTCAATGTGAAATCGAAATAATACCCAAAATTGTAACTAATTCAAAAAAAAAAAAAAAAAAAAAAACAAAAATAAATAAAAATGCTAAAAAATGTGCTAGGTGCTAGATCAATTTTTTTGGTGCTAAACGAGATTCAAAAGTGCTAAATCTAGCACTAAAAGTGCTAAATTGGCAACACTGCATAGCTCCCATATATATATTTAACTGATTTTATGTAAACGGTCCTTATATATCTTTCGATTTGCACGAAATTTGATACAGCCTAATCATTTAGGTCTAGAATGATGTCTACCAAGTTTCGTGAAAATCGGTACAGATTTCGATATAGCTCCCATATATATTTTCGTCCGATTTAATGTAAATGGTCCACCATATATATCTTTCGATTTGCTCGAAATTTGGCGCAACGTAATGAATTAGGTCTAGAATGATGAGTGGTAAGTTTCGTGAAAATCGGTTTAGATTTAGATGTAGCTCCCATATAAATTTTCGTTTGATTTAATGTAAATGGTGCACCAACGTCCCTATATATTTTTCGATTTGCACGAAATTTAACATAGCGTACTGAATTAAGTTTAAAACGATGTGTGTCGAATTTCGTGAAAATCGGTTCCGATTTACATATAGCTCCCATATATATTTTCGTCCGATTTAATGTAAATAGTGTCTCTATATATCTTTCGATTTGCACTAAATTTGGCACAGCGTAATGAATTAGGTTTAGAATGATGTGTGTTAAGTTTCGTGAAAATCGTTTCAGATTTAGATATAGCTCCCATATATATTTTCGTCCGATTTAATGTAAATTGTGAACCAAAGTCTCTATATATCATTCGATTTGCACGAAATTTGGCACAGCGTACCAGACTAGGTGTAGAATGATATATGTTGAGTTTCCTGAAAATCGGTCCAGATTTCGATATAGCTCCCGTATATATTTTCGTCCGCTTTTATGTAAATGATGCACCAAAGTCCCTATATATCTTTCGATTTGCACGAAATTTTGCACAGCGCATTGAATTAGGTCTAGAATGATGTGTGTAAAATTTCTTGAAATTCGGTTAAGATTTAGATATAGCTCCCATATATATTTTCGTCCGATTTAATGTAAATGGTGTACCAAAGTCCCTATATATTCTTCGATTTGCACGAAATTTGGCATAGCGTACAGAATTGATTCAAGAATGATGAGTGTTAAGTTTCCTGAAAATCGGTTCATATTTCGATATAGCTCCCAAATATATTTTCGTCCGATTTTATGTAAATGCTGCACCAAAGTCCCTATATATCTTTCGATTTTCGCGAAATTTGTCTGAATTGAGTCTAGAATGATGTGTGTTAAGTTTCCGGAAAATCGGTTCAGATTTCGATATAGCTCTATATCTGACCAAATGAAAAATTTAGTATCGGTTGCAGAATGGCATATTTATGGTTTCAATTTTATTTTACTGCTCCTTTAATAAAGCGACGTCTGTTAGGATTCATTTGTTGTATATACCCAAGGTGGTGAAGGGTATTATATAGTCGGCCCGTCCGACTTTACTACTTTCCTTACTGGTTTTTAAATAATTTTTGTAAGGCTCCCTATAAGGCGTGGATTTTTTAAATATTTTTTTCAAGGTTCTTTAATCATTAAATGTTATTAAATCTCCCCTAAAATCTTTCCTTTACACTAATTAACTAATTTTTCTTGTATTGTTTTTTTTTCTTTACATGTAACAACAACTTCAACGATCCTGCTGAATTGTGAAAATCATAAAACTAATTACCTTTTAAACACATTGGTGGTTAACACAATCATTCAACGCCATAATCATCATCACCCAATGCCACCAAACACAAAAATTGCAATGACGAACATCCTGACGACAATCGTGGTAACACACAAAACACCATCTCCAACAACAACTACTATGGCCAACTATTATAATAACGACGTTAAAACAAATGACAATGGGGTGACTAAATGCTATTTGAAAAAAAAACAACAACTACCAACCATGAATTGTGTGTGTGTGTTAATGTTGGCCAATATGCTTGTGGCCATGATGACGACCATTCTACCCTGCCGACCCACTTATAATTATGTGATGATGGCAAAACCGTGATGATGATGGCTACACCACGATAATGGCTATACGGAACACCATCAACAAACATATGCCACAATGAAACTGGGGGAAAATACACGCACACACACACATACATACACACACACATTTTTCCCCGGTGTTTGTTCGAAATTGAAAACAAACAAAAAACATGCAAAAATAACATTATGGTTGTACCACAATAAAAAAATACAACAACAACTACAACAAAAAAAATCTCCAACAAAAAACATCGTTTGAAATAAATGATTTTTGAATTGTGTTGGATGAATTGGGGGCCACCAATGTTGATGATTTCCGTTTCCCCCCGCTTCCAAAAAAAAAAAATAAATAAAAAAAACCTGAAACCTGATTCTGGACTATCCCCATGGCCGAACTGTGGCTCTCTGCTGTAATCATATAAATAAAAATTTAAAAACAAAATTAATTGTTATTGGAAAACAACAAAAACAACAACTACAACAAATAACCAAAAATATTAAAACAACAACAAACAAAATATAATTGTTGTTTGTTGTTATGCATGAATGAATGACCGCACACGCATACAATGACACATTGTTAACACCAATAATACACACACATATTGTAAACAAACACACATGCCCTCACACACACACACACATGTGTATGGATGTCCGTCCGACATGGCCATCCTTTGTTTCTTATCAAAACCACCCCACATTGTGAACGGCTCACCTTTGTGATGATCCTATCATCACCTCTGGACCTTCACCACCTCATGCTACCACTACCGGACTTTGGACACGTTCGGCATTGCCTTCGTGTGAAAAATATGCTGATTTTGAACAATTCGAACACCATTATCACTCCTTCAATTCATGGAACATCGCCGTCATCATCAACATTGTCGTCGTCGTACAGTACCACCGGATATATTAGATTATCCAACAAGCACGGATATGGTGGTACGTGAGGGCAGTAATGTGACGCTGAAATGTGCAGCTACCGGTTCACCTGAGCCGCAAATTATATGGCGACGTGAAAATGGAGTGCCCATTGAGCTACCCAATGGCACAGAGGGTAAGTTAATACTCAGGATAAATAAAGCAAAACAACAAATACTACAACAACAATAAAAAAACAACAATAAAAATAAAGGAAAAAGGAACAGTGGGCGGAAAGTTTTGAAAAATTAAGGCCTTGATAAAAAACAATTTGACAATTTCTTTTTTTTAAAATAAAATATTGACGGGGCCGACCTATCATATGGTCTACACAACTTTCACGAAAACTAACATTTTGTGGTTCTACATTCTAGCTTGGGCAATATTTCGCGATATTTGCAGCCTCTTGTCCGGCTAGAGGTCAACAAATATTACTAATATTCAATGCAGTCCTTCTAATCACTTGCCCAGATTCCCTTCTCCGTGGGTTGTGTTGTGATGTTCGGCATTCAATTGTGGCCTATAGATCGACTCGAAAAAATACAAACAATGAAGTTTTCGGTCCACTTCATCGCTAAATTCTTATCTGAGCATCGCCGAAAATTGTAGGCGTTGTCCTTGACCGTAACTGGAACCTCATGGAACATTTCAAAGCGATCATCGCTATATTTCCGACCTCCACTGTGGTAAGGAGTTACTAAATAATATCTAATAACCTGTAAATATTTAAGTGGAACTCCCATAGGTACCAGAGGTTCCGTAACGGGAACCTCATGGAACATTTCAAAGCGATCATCGCTGCATTTCCGCCCTCCACTGTGGTAAGGTGTTACTAAATAATATCTAAATAGTAAGGACCTGTAAATATTTAAGTGGAACTCCCACATCCGAGTACCTATGACAATATAATTGGTATCAATTTAAAGGCCAACCACTCCTCTTGGATATACTATCAACTTATCGGGTCTATGTCCTTCAGTGGGAAAATATATCGGCTATAGAACACAAATTTTGTCATTTTTCACACAAAAGTCAAGGTCCATTTTACCCGCCAAATATTGACAGATCTTTATCAAAACAATCATTCTTATTTTTTGGCCCGATCCACTTCTCTATGTAACATTTCGCGATGTTTGGACCATAATTGCGGGCTCTAGAGCGACCAGAAAAACCGACAAAAATTTAGTTTTTGGTCCATTTCTTTCCCTAAATATTATCCGATCTTTACCAACAACAATAGAGGTCTTCATTGGCCAAAACCCATTCTACATGCAAAATTTCGTGAAGATTGGTCCATAACTGTGGACTGTATCGTGTTTACAAATTATAAAGGACAGACAGGAGGACGGGCGGACGGACGGAAGGACACACATGTCTAGATCGATGATAGAGGTCAATAGCACCTCATCCTTACAATGACATATTTTCCGAGTATTACTAATATTCAGTACAGTCCTTCTGTTCGAAAGTTATAGGCGTTGTCCTTGACCGTACCTAGATTCTCATGGAATATGCCAATGCGATCAGCACTATATTTTCGACCTCTAGGGTGGTAATGGGTTAATATATGACTAGGTAAGCACCTGTAAATATTTAAGTGTAACTCCCACATCCGAGTACATTCGACAGTATAATTGGTATCAATTTAAAGGTCAACCACTCCTCTTGGATATACTTTCAACTTCTCCGGTCTATGTCCTATGTCTAGATCGACTAAGCCAGTCAATATATGATATATGACCAATATATGACCAATATTTCGCCGAGTTACAAACTCTTGGGGCTGCACAAAGCTCTGATACCCTGACAACATAGTTGTGTAGGGTATAAAAATATGCTTTAAAAAATCTACACCTTATTTAGGCCTTGAAAAAAATCGTATAAAATCTACGGCTTGCCTAGGCCTTAAAAAAAATATTAAAAAAATCTACGTCTTGTATAGACACCAGAAAAAATTATGAAAAAAATCTACGCCTTATATATTTACTTACTTTGCTGACTTGTTACAGAACAGTTGTTCCATAAGCCGAGCTTAAAAGAGATTTACAGGCGCGTCGGTCTTGTGCGCATCTCCTTCAATTTGCAAGACCACGCTCCAAGATATTGTTTTCTACTTGGTCTTTCCATCTAATTCGCAGCCTTCCCCTTCTACAGGAACCATCAGCAGTCTCGGTTTTATATGCCTTTTGAGCTGGGGCATTTTCGTTTATCCGCACAACATGGCCTAGCCATGTAGTCGCTGCAGCTCAATACGATTGATTATGTCAATGTCCGCGTATAAATTGTAAAGCTCGTGGTTCATTTGACGCCGATATTCACCGTCGATGCCGACCGGCCCGAAGATCTTTCGGACAATTTTTCTCTTAAACACCCCAAGAGCTTCCTCATCTGCTTGCGCAAGTACCCATGCTTCAGATCCATATAATAGCATGGCTAGTATCAGCGTCTTGTAAAGTGTGAGTTTGGTCTGGCGGGAGGTGGCCTTGTTTCTAAACTGCTTACTTAGACCATAGTATCATCTGTTGGCCATCACAATCCTTCTCCGAATTTCAAAACTGATGTCATTCGGCTGTACCAAGGTATATAAAATCTTTGACTACCTCGTAGCTGTAGTTCTCAAGTTCCACAGTTGGTCCGAGTCTACTGGACGTCTTGCGCGTTGATACCATGAGCTTGGTCTTCTCGCCATTTACTGCCAGACCCACTTTGGCAGACTCCTTCTCAAGTTGTTCAAAGGTGGCCGTTACCGCTCGCAAAGCTCGACCCATTATATCGGATGTCATCGGCGTAGGCGAGTAACATGTGTTGTTCGGTGTACAGAGTGCCATTTCTGTTTACCTTTGCGTCTCGTATGACCTTTTACAGCAAGATCAAACGACAAACCATCACCTTCTTTGAATCCTCGTTCGGTATTGAAGGGCTCCGATAGGTCATTTCCGATTTTAACTGCTGACTTTGTGCCACTTAAAGTAATCCTGCATGCCCGTATTAATTTTGCAGGAATTCCAAACGCAGACATGGCTTTATACACCCCTGTATGGATAGGGCTGTCAAATGCGGCTTTATAGTCGACGAATAGGAGGAATGCGCAAAGTGAAAATCTGGTCAATGGTGAATTTGCCAGGTCTGAAGCCGCATTGGTGTAGTCCAATAATGTCATTGACCATCGGCTTCAATCGTTCACAGAGCACACTGGATAGCACTTTGTACACGATGGGAAGGAGACTTATTCCTCTATAATTGGCACATATCTCATATCTTGTCTCCTTTTTTGTGCACGGGATACAGGATGCTGAGGTTCCAATCATTGAACATGGTTCTTCTAGTCAAATTGGTTACATGCTCCTGACCAGCATCTAACCACAAGTCTTGAATAGTTCGGCTGGTAACCCATCGGCTCCTGCTGCTTTATTGTTCTTGAGCCGATTAATTGCCTTTATGAGCTCATCTTGGCTAGGTGGTATACACTCTATACCATCATCTCTTATTGGTTCTGGGGTATCTTGTTCACCGCTACTATTTGATACCAGAAGCTTTTCAAAATGCTCCTTGCAGATCCTCAACACGCTGTCTGTATCTGTCACCAGGTTTCCTTCTTCATCTCTACCGGAGGATGTGACTGCACTAAAACCTTCGGTTTAGTGTTTTACCGGTTGGTAGAATTTTCGGACTTCCTTCTGACTCCTGTACATCTCGATTTGCTAACGCTCACGTTTTTCATGTTCTTTCTTATTTTTTTCTGAAAACAAGTTTCTCCTCTCTCCTTTTCTCCCGATAATTCTCCATCACAATACGTGTTGCTACTGTCTGCAGGGTTGCCCTCTACATTTCGTTTTTCACATCAGTAGCATTATGACACTCCTAATCGTACCATGGGTTTCTTGGTGGTGGTTTTTAGTACCCAAGTGTTGGTTTTGCTGCAGTCTGTAGGGAGTGGGCAATTCTTTGCCATTGTGCTTCTATACTACTATCGGAACAAGAAGTGCTTTCGTCAAGCAGGTGGGCAAGTTGAGCGGAGTAGGCTCTGTTATCTGTTATGTTTGCAGCTTTTCGACTTCGAATTTCCGTGTTGCATTAGATCGTACCTCTGCTGCTACATTAAGACGGGTGCGTACCTTGGCTGCCACAAGGTAATGGTCCGAATCGATATTCGCCCTTCGGATCGATCAAACGTCTAATACACTGGATGAATGCCTTCCGTGTATCACAACATGATCAATTTGATTTATCGTTGTTCGATCGGGAGAAATCCAGGTGGCCTTGTGTATATCGAGATGCTTGAATCTGGTGCTGCTAACTACCATGTTTTTTGCTGTCGCGAAGTCAATCAACCTCATGCAGTTGTTGGTTGGTTCTTCATGAAGTCTGAATTTTCCGATTCTCCTAGAAGAATGTTAATGCCATGGCCAGGGCAACTGTCATATGAAGTTTCTAGGCACTCATAAAATATGTCTTTGGTCTGCTATCTGTGTCTTCGTTCGGAGCATGGGCGCAAATGAGACTGATGTAGAAGAACTTCGCTTTTATTCGGATTATAGCAATTCGCTCATCTACTGAAGTGAATCTGGAGACGAGGTCTTTTATTCTCCTGTTAACCATAAATCCGCAGCCAAATTCATGTCTCATTTCATGGCAGCTATAATACAGTGCGTAATCGTCTGTTATACTTACGCCTGTCCCTTTCCATCGCATTTCCTGTAGGGCAATAATATCGGCGTTGTACATCTTGAGTACATCCACCAAGGCGAAAACAGGGCCTGTTCTGTACAACGTGCGCACATTCCAAGTGTAGATTCCCAGATCGTGGTCCATTATACTTTTGCGGGGGTCGTCAACATTAGGGGGGTTTGGTTTTCTTGTTCTTTGCTTTTTCATAGTAGGTTGGGTTTTCCGAGTGTGGGCAACTAACCCGATGCCTCAACCCACTTTTTTATAGTTCTTATGGGTGAACTATTTCGATGGGTGATGAAAGTAGCTACCCCAGGTGACACCGCGGGAGGTCATTGCCCACAATTGAGATGAAAGAGGGACCAAGATAAGACGGTTTTCATAGTTTCCCAGGTGCGATTTTTTTCTAGTTTTTCGAACTACTTCCCACTGTCCCCACAATCTGCCGCTTGTGTTGCAAAACAAGAA